AACCCTAATGGCCCCGAGATGACAGAACCATGAGATCTTGACCAGGTCATCCTAATGAAGAATAAAAAAATAATTCAAAAAATAAAAATATAATTGGCTAAGAAATTTTAAGCAACCTAAAATTTTTAACCCTTAAAATCTAAAAAATATTTTAAAACTTAAATGAAACCTTAATGAACAAAGATCACCGAATGTAACTTAAACCCTACTATCCGGGTTTTACAAATATCTCTTAAACGATGCAATCTATGGTTATTGACAAAATTCTTCTGGTCGGAGTAGGATTGACCGCCTCTCAAACTAAGTAAATCAGGATAGCCGATGACCATGGGACGATGGAGTCATAAACATCTTGACCGGGTTATATAAAAATTAATAAATAAATGAAATTAATAAACAAAAACATTATATTGCCTTCTAACTATGCTTTTTAGGACTGTTGAAGACAAAAAGCACGGGCAACTGAAGACAAGCAAGCAAGATGTCATCCTAGATTTACTTTGAATGTTATAAGGATATTCTAACTCTATTTTGCAGAGGCGGACATTCAAAACCCGAAGTAAAATGTTGAACTTCAACTAAACCATCAACGACACAACAAAACTTTAGGATAGTTCAGAATCTTTAGGAATCCGTTACCTTTAGAATATGACATTGACATTCCTTTCCTTGACAACAACATCTGATTTTTTTTTTTCTGAGAACAAATCAAAACCTTAATTGGGAGTTTTCTTAAATAATCTTTATTACTTAAGATTTGATTAACTATAAAGGCTTGCCCTTATGTGAGAATGCAAACTATAGATTGCGTACATCAACCTTAATTCTCTGGTTATTAGCTTTTGTAGGATCGCCTTCGCAGTTGTGTCTTTAAAGCATTATGAACATTTGCTTTAGATTTATCAATACAAAACTTCACTTTATGGAGGCTTCCCATATAATTCTTTCGTTTGCTTCTTTTATTGCTTGTCATAGTCCTCCAATTTCTCATCTCTTAGTTCACCTACGAAATCTAAGATGGAGATGATTCGAAGAAGAGGGCAACATAACAGACAACAAATCAGTGACTCCACAATAACAACGACGACATCAAATCCAACCAACATTGATGAAGACTGATGGCAGCGACGACTAAAGCTACCAACAAATATCAAATCATAAATGATTTGACCATGAATGCGCTTAAGAATAAGCTTAATACTTTTAAACCTTAGTAGATAATACCAAAAGATTTTTTTAGGTTAATGATGAAATATCCTCTGACCAATTCCTTTGAAGGATGTTATTGGATTATTAATAGTTAAATAATGCTAAATTAAATTTTGGCGTACACCAATTTGATTCTTTCACCCAATTAAACCCAAATTGACTTATTTGCTTACATGAGACCTAATTAATTAATTTTACTTAAATTATTTAAATTCATACTCTCAAGTACCTTAGGAAAATTTTAATAGTTAGCCATAGGTTTCTTGGCCTCAACTGGCCCTTTTATATAGGGCAATAAATTCACCTAGCTCTTTTGATCTTATTCTTAACCCTTAAGGCCAAATTTAATGATATTTGTTACATTTAGCTAAACTAATCCTTTTCATATATTTTGATTAAGTAATATGGATGAATTGATTTCAATTAGATTGAGAATTGACCAAGATCAACAACCTCTTAACCTTGGAAGGTTAATCCTAGCTCATTTAATATACTATAAACCCAAATGCTATTAAAGAATTTGATTACTCTAACACATGTATCATACATATTCTATAAGATGTCCATTAGTTAACATAAACCCTCACCTCCCAAACGTCCTTAGGATCGCCAAAGTTAGTTTGCTAAATTTTTATTTCATTGTTTTTCTTCAATCTTAATATACATATTAATTTGTTCATTTTTAATTTTATTCTTATAAAATTAAATTAAATTATATTTAAAATACTCAACCTATTTTTAGGTAGTTCACCTAATATTTGTCAAGTCTAATTTTATAGCAACTGAGATAGACATTAAAAATAGATTTCTCACAATTGATCAGTTACCACAAAACATATTCATAGTAATAAATAGGTGCATAAAAGATGGAAGATAATAATAAATATTTCATAGAGAAACTAAAATATTGTAGCCAAATTTACATTAAATAAATTCGAAGGACTTGTAGATTGATTATATAAACATAATATTAATAAAAAAGGAGAAACAATAATATAATAATAATTATAATAATAATAATAATAACTAGTTGTTAACAATCGCAGCTTTGACAATATCAATAAAATCACATAAAAATTAAACTTATCCAACATGTGGCATCATGAAAGACCTAAGAAAGCGTTGAAATTTAAAAAACTCAAGAGGATTGCCATTGATATAATAAAGTGCCATTACTTAAAAGATCATAGCTTTGGAACTACCAATAAAATCACATAAAACTAAATTTATCTAATATGACCACCATGAAAGGCACACAATCATAAGCTTTAGCCATACTCATCTTAATGGAAATAATGAAATCCACTTGTTTAAAGATAACGATGCATAATTTTCCACTCAAGTAAAATATCATCCAAAATATTCTAACAAATAATAAGCCAATACAATTAGTAGAAATAATTTGTTTAAAGTAGAGCTTAGTCTATCAGCTAAAACTTGAAGAAATTATTTAACACATGCCATCGAATTTCTGAGGATTTACAAATATATCACCTAAATGTTAACATACATGCCAACGAAATTGTATGTATTTACATACATAACACCTAAATGTTGATTTTCAACATTTGTACCATCCAAATCTTTCATATCACATAAAAAAATTTCACCGTTTTAACTCTTAAAAAAGTATATAGAATTCACATTTAAATGCAAAGGTGATGTGAGTTGTATGTAAAAAGCACCGTCCTGAAGTCATTTTTTAAAATCAACAAATCATAAGATTTCATTCTCCCTATGATTTCATTCATAAACTCTATGAAAATCATAAAATAGAAACAAGACTAACATAAGATTTTCATTCTTCAATGGCAGGTTATTCCTTCAAACGAAAGGGGAAAAAAAAAATTGACTTATTTACACTTTTCTCCCTAACTGTGATGAGTCTAAAATAATAAATCCTAAAGAAAATAACCCAAAAAATTTATGATGGTTTGCCACAATATAACAATTGGAAATGCAAAGAGGCTGTTGGTAACAGAATTTGTGCAGAATTTAAGTAGTATTTAGAAAAAATCCTGCCAAACAACAACAATGTAACTATCATCAGTCATGGGATATAAATGATTTCTCTCACTTAAAAATAGTATATCCTCAAGGAAAGAGCCCAAAAATTTATCATGGTTTAGCAAAATTTAACAATTACAATGCCAAAAAGATTGTGGGTAACAGAAGTATGATTTAATACGAGACCAAAAATAAAAAATAAAAATAAAAAAGAAAACAAGTGGGGATAAGGATACTACAACACTAGTGCCTGCGAAGCTTTTGCTAAAGTATTGAATCTGTTCCGAGGGTTTAATGCTGAGGCACGCGAACTGGCATATCTCTTAAATATTGTTTACGATCATAGTCCTCCGACTGTTGTGTCTCTGTTGTCATACCAGACTGTATCATGAAATGTGACTGTTGTTGTGGAGTTGACAGAGACATTCAAAAATGCGCAAGATATGGTGCTTTATATGAGGCGGTGGCTCCATCCATCCAGAATGGGGTGTGATACGGTGATATGGGTGACACCACAAAGTTGTGCTGAATACGTGCTCGCTATACAGTCCACTTGGATTGCAAATGGTAGATGAACTTGGATCTACAAGGGCAGAAGGAACAACACTTAAAACTGCTAGCGGGTATAATTTGTCCGAGGTGGGTGGGTGCTCCAAAATATTGTTGGTATCATAAAGATCATCTATAACATATATGTTTATGTGAACCTCTCTACATAAGCTCTTAAATGCATCGATTAGAGGCTGATATGGGTTGTCAACACATCTCCCAAATACAGGCTAAAGCAACTCCTCTGTCTTCAGAAATTGATGTCGCTGAATCAAATTTCTAAATATTATATATCAATCATATCTTAGGAAAACTTATAACACCATTAAACTAAATAATAGAACTCTCTCTCTGGTGCCTTTGGATGATATGATTTTGGGGCTTCAAATGGAACTTGTAGCAAGTATAAGGAAGCTCAGAATCTGTACCAATGCATGAATTCTCTACATGCTTGATCATCATCAAAATCCACATTATTACTCTGGACAATTAAGACATGTCTACTTTCCCATATCTGTATGTAACGCTGATGGTATACCGGACAATCCATATTTGCCTTCTCTCTACCATCTATTCGTGTGAATCCGACCTCCATTGGCTCCATGTGAATGCCCTACACACCCTCCAATTTTCTCATGACTCAATTGGGTAAATTCCACTCAACTCTCCTCCAAGTAGGGCTGTCAAAAAAGCTCGTTGTTCACGAACAACTCGTCTTTAGCTCGTTCATTTAGTAAACGAGCCGAACACGAAAATTTTTTTTTAAGCTGGAATTATAAACGAGTCGATCATGAACAACTATTTGTTTGCTCGTGTTAAACTCGTTTTAAAAATTATATAATTATTTATATAATAATATATTACATATATTATTTATATAATAATATATTATGTATATATTATATCTAAGTTTAAATCATAGTAGCTCATGTGGTAATGTGGTTAAGTGCTCTCTTTTGCATACATTTAGTCTATATTTGAATTCAACACTATGCATCTATTTTTTCCAATTAATTTTAACGAACAAGAATATTTAAATTGAACCGAACATGAACAAGAATATTCAAATCTAGCTGAACAAGAACACACTATTCATGAGCAAGTTTCGAACACGAGCTGATTTCGAACACAAGTCGATTTCGAACACGAGCAATTTCAAACAAGCCAAACATAACTCGACTCATTTACAGCCCTACCTCGAAGAGATTAATGGAACACGGGTTTTCCATATGCCTTGCCCTGTTGTGCATATATCATCCACATGTGTTAATATCTCTACCGTGTAGGGTCCCCATGTTACCTGAAAATTAAATTAGAATATAATAAATGAAACACCTAAATTTGCACTATTCATTGCACGAACCTGAATTTCAAGTAGCCCATCGATTTCATCTGGATAAACTCGTACAATCAATGTAGGAATTTCTCCAATATGTAGCTCATTCCATTTGTAATGTAGCTCATTCCAATATGTAGCTCATTCCATTTGTAAGAAGATACAAATGTCATTCCATTTGTAGTTAGCTCAACAAACATTGCTTTTAATTAAAAATCAACCAATACGTATCTGAATCCCAAACTTTTTCCGTCCAAGGTCTGAGGATATGACACATGAAGTGTCAGTTGGCCTACTTGTAAATGTTCCAAACTCCAAACCTGTAGTAGATACAGACATCGAACCCTATTAACCCGGTTGAGTTTCATTACAAGTTTCACTTAACGATAGACGTGGAACAATATTGCACTACCCAATGAGTACTTTCCAAAATCTTCTAAATTTTCCACTGTTGGCAAATACTGCAGATGAATCTCACAACCAAAGGTATCGGGTGGTAGAAAATATCCTAATATGAATAATACATATGCATGAATAAGCATTTGAAAGGCAATCATCTAAATCCATAGAAGATTCATGAAAGAACGTCCACCTCAGTCATCTGAGAGGCATGCAAGTATGTCACTTCGCCTGACCAATGTGAAATGTCGATGTGATCGCCTCATTAGCGGGGTCATGGTAGACAAAATCTTCCGTCGGTTGTGCACCAAGAAGTTCGTCAGAACAATCAAACCATAAAGCTCATCAGTTACCCGCCACAACCATATTTTGCTCAATCAGAGGAGGCCCACTAATGCAGAGGCCAAGCAATACATCAACATCCTGTAGGGTGACGGGCATCTTGCTTGCGGGAAGATGAAATGTGTTTGTATCACGCGACAATCTCTCCACAAGGGCAATTGGTAGATGATGATCCAACTTTATGAAATGAAGGTACTTATTGGAGTTTAAACCCACCTGCTGCAGCCCCTTTAAGAATCGAGGACATGTCATCAACTACTTTGTAGTCATCAACAAATGCAAAGCTGCTTCTAAAATCATACCCTATGAGCGAGGGTATCAGTAAATATGATGATTAAAAAAATATTTGCATGACTGTGATTTAAATGCTAAAAGAGTGTATTGTATTAGGGTGTGTTGCTCGATGTGATCCATGTAATGAAGAGATGCTTGGATGGACAACATCAACTTCATCGGCATGTGCACCGTGATGATGTCCCTATTGTTCCTCATCCATCGTAACTTTGTGTAAAATTTAAGTTAGTGCAAACTTAAAAAGGACATGGTTGCATACGCATTGTGTTCATAAAAATCATTTGAAAAAATATCCTTAAAGTAAATAGTTTTAATAACTTATAGATGCAGTAACTAGAGTGATTCATCAAATATAAGCCGTATTAGTGTTGTCTTGGAGATGACAGAAAAAAATAAAAATTATTAAAAGATAAAGCTTGCTGATAAGTATTTTTCCAAAATTGTAGTACAAAAAGTTCTAGGAGGTATTTTAAAGACTACAAGATCAATGCATTTCACTTGAATTTCACAAAATGTCCGGTCAATCGTTCATGATTTTAGTTGCCGACCGTTCTATATGAGCATGCAATAGTTTTCATTACACAAAAAAATTAATCCATTAATTTAAGTAAAATTTATTGAAAAAAATCGATGAATTTATACCAGTTATTCCTAGGGTTCAATGAATATGTAGACTTAATATGTCCTACTGTCCTACACATAATACAAATTCTATTATTTTGTGTTCTACTTTCATCCATAGTATTTGTAAAACACCTAATCTGTGGACGGCTGGATTTTCTTATTAAATTAGCAGAAGCAACTCAATAATACATTTTGCTTAGTCAAAGTCTGGTCACTCAGTGTTCTGGAGGATTATATGAAACTCAGCAACATATGTTTTCTTATAATTTTGGATTGAACAATATTATGATATAAATCTGTTGTGATTAAGTTGGAGATAACCAAGTGTCACAATAACGTGTTAACATAGAATATGAAATATATGTGATTTTTCACAGGAATATTTAATAGCCTGAACATCACCAATCTGAACTTTATATGTGTGACATGAAATAGCGAAAATATCGTACTCATGCATGTTAATGTGAATTTTTGTTGGTAACCTCATGGCCTTAAACTCATATCTTCGTAACATAGTGGTTGTCTTTGGTGAGAAGGTGGATTCATTCTTTTCTTCCAAGTTAAATGCAACTAATGCCTCTTTAAAAAAATGTTTACCATATTGTAATAAATCGAGTATATTAGTGCTAGTATAGGCATCCCTGTTATGCACTTGAGGATGTCATTAAAAGACTCTAAAGCATTTGTTATCATTGTCTCATATCTAAATCCATTGTCATGGAAAAAACTCCACTTTGTCGAGTACTGTTGCACAAGCCAATCCATTATTTCTATTTTAATGTTTCTGATATCTAACATGTAATGATTAAAAACATTGATATCATCAGTACTAACAACCAATCACATCTTTTGACAAACTGTCTCTACATCTGGAACACCCATGCTGTGAAGTGCTTTCTTGAAATTTTTGTGCAAATGTCAAAGGCAATGTTTGTATGCTGCCCAAGGAAAAATTACATGACAAGCCCTAACAGTTCTAGAGTGGTGATTAGAGATGATACAAAAGTCTTGTCTTGAAGAAATTGAAGGGATCATGTCACATAAGGTTTGCATAAACCAACATAATGATCATTACATTCTGACTCAACAAGATCAAATGCTAGTAGAAATATGTTGTTGTTAGCATCAATAACAACAGTGGTAAGTAATGCACCTTTGTATTTTCCCAACAAAAGACTCTCATTCACACTAATAATCGGGCGATAGTGAACCCATTCGAAAATACAGGGACCGAGAGCACAAAAAAGTTTGTAAAAACTGTTAAATGATGTGGCCCGGATTCTATAAATTGAACCTAGCATTATAAACGAGATCGCAGTCGTAAAATGGTATAAGGAATGGTAAGACTCTTCCTAGCTTCCAAAAATTATCTTGATAACCTCTCTTCAGGCATCCCATGCTTTAATGTATGATATTTTGATGTTAAAGTTCAATTCAATGCAACCAATGATCTCCTTCGTCATATTATCCATCCGTTTTCAAATAAATTGAAGAATGAACAATGAAATAAATTATGACGTACATTACCAGTGTCTTGTCATCAAATTAGGCTGATTAAAACTGTGTGGTGTCATTATAGTAGAAATCCTCCAAACACCCCACAAACGTTTCCTGCAGGTAGCATGTAGGCTCCACTGAAAAGGTCTGCAAAGGTGATCATGTTGCAGGCAAACTAATGTTAAATAGTATTTGAATTAATAACCTTGACTCAACATTATTGAGTATTGTCCACCCAGAAATAGTGCATCGTAGTTCTTTTTTATTGCAAAAAACCATTTCTTCTAAAAGCTTGAATGAAATAAACCCTTCTTAGGTAGATGTCATGTGCTCACTATGATCTCAAAATCTACATTATCATCCCAACCTTGTGTCATTTGGCAAAACCGTACGTAATTGTTTCTACTAATCATTTCAGCTCTTATGTTGCATTTATAAAATGCATGCTCCCGTGTAAGTTCATGCCCATTTATTTGTGAATTGTCACGCTCCCCGATAACTTCATGATCCGTCTCATCATCAATGTCACTATTATCATCACTTGAACCCCTGTCTATTTTCTCATATCTTTCAATAATGGGAGGCAATTGCACATCAGATTCTAGAGATCCTTGCAACACTTTTAAGGCACTATTAACCCTCAATGACTCATAAATGAAATTATTTGTACAAGCGATATAACTTTATGTCAATAACATATTTTGTATTACTTTAGAGAACTTAATAAGAAAAATATATATAGATGAATTTAACTTACTGATTTGTATCCATGTTACCTAAAAAATTTGTCAATAAAGGTTGCGAGTTAGGTCTTCAACATTATGATCATCTATGTGGATTTGAATAATTTCTACATAAAGTGACTACTTGAAGCATCTGTCAAAACAACTACAACCACTTAGTCATTGTCTACAGTAGTTGCAACAAATGTTTCATGGAGTGGTAAATGACATACCATATTAAGAATAAGTTTCAACAAATCACATCTCAATGTTTGAAGAATTAAAGCTTTCAACTCCATATACCAGGAGCACGGTGATACTATAATAAGTCTTCTTTTACCCCCAATACATTTTGGCATAAGATCATCATATACAATTAATTCTCCACCATAACGTATCATCAATTGAACATAAGGCTTACTCATTTTTTATGTGTGATTCTGCAAAAAATTGAAGAAACAATAGAAAATATAAATTTTATTTATGTTCAATAACTTCAACATTAAAAATTTCAGGCATAGTGACACAAGAGAGAAGCGAACATTCTTTGGTTACACTTCATCAATCATACGTACAATATGGAATCATTGACTAAACTATACGAGCTTATATAAAAAAGCACATGTATATTACTAACGCTGATAAACATGATTCTTTATTATATAGGTTTAACCACCATGAATTTAATAAGATGACCAACCTAATAGTAACCCCTCTATTAATATCTAAAAGTAAATCAAAAGATAGTATATAACTGGATGACCAACCTAATAGATAGTAACCCCTCTATTAATATCTAAAAGTAAATCAAAAGATAGTATATAACTGGCAAAAGTCAAATCTAAAACATCTGATCATATTTGTGACCAAAAGTCTTGGTACCGACTTTCCATAAAAGAAGCATAATCAATATACACTTGGTGCAAAATAATAATTTTTCCAACTTATTAATCATAAGTAATCTTAAAACATTCAATGTGGCCAAAATCAAATCTAAAACATCTTCTCTCCTAATACGATCATCATTTGGTTGACATTTAATGTGACCAAATTATCTAAGACATCGTTCTCTAATCTTGTCTGCGACTAGAGCAACACCAACATTTTCATGGATATATTTGTCTCGCATTTTATCTCTTAAGTGTAAAGCCACTCGTAAAATAATCAAACATAACAAAATCAAAGCATGAAGTAAGAAAACCTCTAATTCTTCACCAATTAGTGATATCTATCATTCATACTACTAATTCAAATAATATTCTATACAATTGAAAAACCATAAATGTTATTTACATAAAAAACCAATCAATAAGGTATTATTAGTGGCTTAAACATAATTTAATTTGTATTAGCCAATCATGTAATCAGAGTTAGAAGACAAAAAAAATATATAAATACTCTCCCATGATTCCATTTATAAACTCTAAGAAAACCTGAAAATAGAAATATAAATAACATAAGATTTTCATTCTTCAATCAACAAGTCATTCCTTCACGGACCATCCTTGATGGAAGGAGCATAACAACACATCTCAATGCATAATAAGTTGATTTTACGAGGGAAATTAGAACATACTCGCCGGGTTCGGAGCCGGAGCCGGAGCCGGAGTCGGAGTGTAAACCCGATCGTCGTCGAGTTAGAAGTCGTCGTCGAGAGCCGGAATTGTCTCCGGATGAGGCTGATCACACGCTGATTCCGATTAGGGTAGGACGCGGGGTAAGCAGGGGAAGTGAGTCGTGAGTGCTAATAGGAACATGATCATATTAGGTTTTTAGGGGTTGCTTATTGGTAAATGAGTCATCAACTTAGCGGTAGGGGTGTAAACGAATCGAACAAGAACGAACAGAGTTTGTGTTCGTATTCAGTTCGTTTGAAATTTAGTTTGTTTGAAATAAGCTCGTGTTTGAAATTGTTCGTGTTCATTTCTTAACGAACGATCTGAACGTGAGCCAAACACGAGCTGTTCGCGAACGACGAGCCAGTTTGACGTCACTAATATTAATATATATAAACAATATATTATATTAATTATATAATTTATATTATATAAATATATAACATCTATATTAATATATTACTAATATAGTATATTAATATATTATTATTATTAATTTATTATATATTATAATTTATAAAATTTAATTTTTTAAAATATCATAATTTCTTATATATAATTATTTTAAATTATTTTATATTTCGAACAATAACGATTCGAACACGAACGAACGCATCACTGTTCTTGTTTGGTTCGTTTAACTAACCGAACGAAAAAAAATTTGTTCATGTTCGTCTCGTTTACTTATCGAACGAATCGAATACAAACTCTTTGACGAACCGAACACGAGCTGCTCACGAACAACGAGCTTTTTTGACAGCCCTACATAGCGGGGACAGCCTTACTGGCAACTGTCACTGCTGGGTTCGCAATTTTGTCGATTTAAGAAAAAAATCATCCATTTAAAAAATAAAAATATTTTTAAAAGTTATTTAAAAATTCCACCCCCAAAAAACAGCAAGGATTTGAAAAGTGCAGACTTACTAATCCTTACCATTTATCGTAAATGAAAAATAACTTTTTAGCATTTCTTTCCTCTAAAAATACTTTTAATTATTATTTATTTATTTAATTAACCATGTAAACCCTCAATTCGCTATAATATCATCAATTGAAGGTAGCATTGGCATTACCTGGCAAGATATAAAATCCACCTAACGGATTACTAATAAACGGTCCAGATGAACCGCTGAATGCATTTTGGACCCACAAGAAACGGCGGTAGATAAAGGTCTCGTACCCCTTCTTTTCCAAAATTTGAAATCCATCAAAATTTACCGTTGTAACCAAATCTTAGCCGTTAGATGCAATCCTCTCCAGATCGACCTAGGCGCTCCATTTCGACCGTTGGAGCTTTAAGACTATCTCCTCTCCTGTCCCCATCGAAACTTTGTAACGGCTCTCCAATTAGCAAAAAGCTGCCGTTTAAAAACTCAAATTGAACGTCCTCCCCCTCCCCCTCCCCCTCTGCCTCCCCCAACCTTCTTCCCATCACCAAGAAACATTCCGTTCCATCCTCCTCCACCGACTTCAGTGTCTGGTATTCGCTTCACAACTCTTCAACAATGGCAGCTCAGAGGACTTCTTCACTTGTATCACCGGCAACCATAACTATCTCTTCCGGTGGCAAGGGTGAAGGAGTTACCAATCGCAGAAGTATGGGACCAAGCAGCCCTGCCACCGGCCGGTCTTTCTCCACAACCAACCCCACCTCCCCAATCTCAGGTAAACTTTCGAGTGGCGGCGGAAGAAGGTATAGCACTGCTGAGGAAGCCGAGAGCACAGAATTCGTCCGCTACACCGTCCAAATCCCAGCCACTCCTGATCACCATCTTTCTTCCGTTGCACCGGAATCAGTCCCATTCCCAGAAAGAAGCTACATTTCCGGCACCCTGTTCACAGGAGGCTTCAACTGCATCACTCGTGGCCATGTCATTAATTCTTCTGCAGACAGCCCCCGAGTTCTCAATCATGCTGGAGTCCTCTGCAGGACGATTGGATGCGACGGCGAGCCTTTCTTCGACAGATCGAAGCAACCCCCTTGTGAATGTGGGTTTACGATCTGTAAAGATTGCTACTTGGAATGCAATAGTAATGGAGGGAAGTGCCCTGGGTGTAAAGAGCCGTACAGGCTGAGTGAAGAGGAGGATTTAGAATCTGAAACAGAAGGATGTCTTCCGTTGACATCCATGGCGGATTTTGGCATGGGTCGAAGACTGTCGATGATGAAGTCAGTGAAGGGCCCCGCAGATTTTGACCATAATCGATGGCTATTTGAGACAAAGGGAACTTATGGGTACGGGAATGCGGTGTGGCCCAAGGATGGGAATGGAGATGGAGGCGGAGCAGGAGGGTTTAAGGGATTTGAAGAGCCGCCCAATTTTAGTGCCAGGAACAGGAGACCGCTCACGAGGAAGGTTTGCGTTTCTCAGGCCATCATCAGCCCATATAGGTGAAATTCTCCTCTCGGTTAGTTTATTTCGAAATCATTTATTGGCTTAGATCTAACATTTTCAGATAGTTTTATCCGTTGGATATGACAAGATTGAGGCTTTTCAGGGCCCTCATCATTTCTATGTTTGGTACTTCGATCATATTTACTTGTTCCGTGTTAGCTTAAACACTCCATTTTTGAATCTGGATGTTATGAGTTGATCTTCTTTTGTAAAATTTTGTTTTTTTTTTAACTTGGAAATTTAACATTGTTCTGCTTGACTGTTGTTATGGTTTGCAGTAATTTACTTGCTCCATTTCTAGAAAGCTCAAGCTGCTTCTTAGACTTGCATGTCATTCTTCAAGCTAAAACAGAAAATTTGTCCAAGTATCCTAGTTTAAATTAAAACGGCAGACACATGCTGTTGCTATGCTTTCCTACTCAACTATTCTCAAAGAATAACAAAATTCCAAGTGAAAACTGACAAGATTAGAGTAATTAAGCTATTTTTACATGTTTCGTTATTCTAATTTGAATTAAGCAACTTTTATGATATTTTTATAAAAATAATTATGAAATTATGCGTACCATCATATTTTTTAAGATTTATAAATTCTTTCCACATGTTTAACCTAAATTAGAAATAAATATGTTTGTGTCTCGAATCATTAAAATGCAACATAATTGAGAATAAAATTTAATAATTTTATTGTGATCTTAAATATTTTGTTTTTGAAATATTATTCTTCTAAACAGAAGAATTTGAGTGAAGTTAATGAAGTAGATTACTGACCCGCAATAGTTTCATTTCAGATTGCTGATCGTGATCCGCCTGGTAGCCCTGGGCTTCTTCCTGGCATGGCGAATTCGCCACCCAAACAACGACGCAATCTGGCTCTGGGCCATGTCCATCACCTGCGAGCTCTGGTTCGCCTTCTCTTGGCTCCTCGACCAGCTCCCCAAGCTCTGCCCTGTAAATAGGGCCACCGACCTCTCTGTTCTCAAAGAAAGATTTGAATCGCCGAGCCTTCGCAATCCCAAAGGAAGATCTGATCTCCCAGGAATCGATGTCTTCGTTTCTACCGCAGATCCTGAGAAAGAACCTCCATTAGTCACGGCGAATACTGTTCTCTCCATCCTTGCCGTCAACTACCCTGTCGAGAAGCTTGCCTGCTACGTCTCTGATGACGGCGGCTCCCTCCTCACTTTCGAAGCTCTTGCAGAGACTGCAAGCTTTGCGAAAGTTTGGGTTCCGTTTTGCAGAAAGCATGAGATTGAGCCAAGGAACCCAGAGGCCTATTTCAGCCAGACAAGAGACTTCCTCAAGAACAAAGTAAGGCATGATTTTGTGAGGGAGAGAAGGAGAGTAAAAAGAGAGTATGATGAGTTCAAGGTTAGAATCAATTCTCTTCCAGATTCCATAAGACGGAGATCTGATGCCTATAATGCTCACGAGGAGCTGCGGGCTAAGAAGAAGCATGAAGAGATGGGAGAACGTCTCACCGAACCAGTTAAAGTCCCGAAGGCTATCTGGATGAGTGATGGTTCTCACTGGCCTGGAACCTGGTCATCAGCAGAAACGGAACATTCAAGAGGCGATCATGCAGGAATCATTCAGGTATATATATTTCTTTGGTGAAAGAAACTCATTCCTTACAGTCTATAACATAAAAGTCTCACCTTTATTGCATTTGTTCATAGGCAATGCTTGCTCCGCCAAACTCTGAACCACTGACGGGCACCGAGGCGAATGAAAATGGCCTCATAAATACCACAACGGTTGATATCCGTCTACCAATGCTGGTTTACGTTTCGCGGGAGAAGAGGCCGGGGTATGATCACAACAAGAAGGCTGGAGCCATGAATGCTCTGGTTCGAACCAGTGCAATCATGTCTAATGGTCCATTCATCTTAAATTTAGATTGTGATCACTACATTTACAACTCCCAGGCTATGAGAGAAGGAATGTGCTTCATGCTTGACAGCGGAGGCGATCGTGTTTGCTTTGTTCAGTTTCCCCAGAGGTTCGAAGGAATCGACCCTAATGACCGGTATGCAAATCATAATTTGGTATTCTTTGATGTTACTATGAGAGCCATGGATGGCTTGCAAGGTCCTATGTATGTTGGCACTGGATGCATTTTTCGTCGGACAGCGCTTTATGGGTTTAGTCCTCCTAGAGCCACAGAGCACCGTGGCTGGCTCGGGAGAAGGAAGATTAAGCTTTTTCTCAGGAAACCAACAATGGGTAAGAAGACTGACCGGGTTGAAGCTGAGAACAACGAAGAAGAAGAGGATGATGATATTGAGTCCTCCTCCCTTCTGCCGAAGAAGTTCGGTAATTCAGCAATTCTCACAGCATCAATCCCAGTAGCAGAGTATCAGGGGAGGCTGCTTCAAGACTTGTCTGGAGTTCATCAAGGTAGGCCTGCAGGCTCCTTGGCAGTGCCCCGTGAACCCCTTGATGCCTCCACTGTTGCAGAGGCCATCTCAGTGATATCCTGCTTTTACGAAGAAAAAACTGAGTGGGGAAGACGAGTAGGATGGATTTATGGTTCTGTGACAGAGGATGTTGTTACCGGTTACAGAATGCATAACAGAGGATGGAGATCAGTGTACTGCGTCACTAAAAAGGATGCATTTAGGGGAACAGCACCAATTAACCTGACTGACAGACTACACCAGGTTCTCCGTTGGGCTACTGGTTCAGTTGAGATCTTCTTCTCAAGAAACAATGCACTGTTTGCATCGAGGAGGATGAAGCTTCTTCAAAGGGTGTCCTACTTCAATGCAGGAATGTATCCCTTCACTTCCATTTTTCTGCTCGTATACTGTATTCTTCCAGCAGTATCCCTCTTCTCAGGGCAGTTCATTGTCAAGTCATTGAATGTTCCTTTCCTCATATTTCTATTGGTGATCACCATCACTCTCTGCCTGCTTGCTTTGCTGGAGATCAAGTGGTCAGGAATTACACTCCATGAATGGTGGCGAAACGAGCAGTTCTGGGTCATTGGAGGGACCAGCGCACACCCTGCAGCTGTGCTTCAAGGGCTTCTGAAGGTTATTGCTGGAGTTGACATCTCTTTTACTCTGACTACAAAGCCAGCAAGTGATGAAAACGATGATGAGTTTGCAGAGTTGTACTTGGTAAAGTGGAGCTTTTTGATGGTGCCGCCAATCACGATCATGATGGTTAACATGATTGCCATAGCGGTTGGGTTTGTGAGGACTGTTTACAGCGAGTTTCCTCGATGGAGTAAGCTACTTGGGGGTTCTTTCTTTAGTTTCTGGGTGCTTTGTCATTTGTATCCTTTTGCTAAGGGGTTGATGGGAAGGAGGGGGAAGATGCCAACAATCGTTTTCGTCTGGTCAGGGTTGATCTCAATTGTGCTTTCACTTATGTGGGTTTATATCAGCCCTCCAGCAGGAGGAAAGAACGAGTACATGAACTTTTAGTTTCCTTGAAGAATGAATGATGAAGATAAATAGAGCTATCAGCTTTTTTTCCGTGCTAGCAGTAACACATATGTAATGAACATTTGAGATTGTTTGTTCGTGCGAAGTAGTAGTAATACATGTTAGAGCCTTTTCATGTAATGAATCCTGTAACTTGCATGAATTTAGGCTCTAAAACAATTGGTTGAATGATGAAGATAAATAGTTCCTTTTTTTATTTTTTGGTTTACATGAAGTCTGTTTACATGAAGAAGTCTGATTTTCATGTAATGAGCACATTGAGATTGTTATTTTTTTTTTTATTTTTTTTTTTTTCTCTGGGTTTTGCATGTGAATTCATGTTGAGAATGTTTTTATTTATTATTTTTGGTTTACATGAAGTTTGATTCATGTAATGAACACATGTTTTAGAGATTTTGTTTGTATGAGATTTTGTTTGTGCTAAGTAGCAGTAATACATGTTTAGAGCCTTTCATGTAATGAATCCTGTAACTTGCATGAATTTAGGCTCCAAAACAATTTCTTGAATGATGAAGATAATAGAGCTTTTTTTTTTTTTCTTTTTTTTTTTTTTGGTTTGGTTGTTTACATGAAGTCTGAAGAATTCATGTAATGAGATTGTTTTTTTTCTCTGGGTTTACATGAATTCATGTAAATTGAAAATGTTTTTTTTTTCTTTTTTTGTTTACATGAAGTCTGATTCTTGTAATGAACACATTGACATTTTTGTTCGTGCTAAGTAGCAGTGAAACATGTGAGGAACACATTATATGCGATTTGTGTTTGTGCTAAGTAGCAGTATGAGCCTTTCACGTAATGAATCCTGTAACTTGCATGAATTTAGGCTTGAAAACCATATCAATTTGTTGAATGATGAAGTAAATAGGCCTATCAGCTTTTTTTTTTTTAATTAATATTTTGGTTTAGATAAAGTTTGATTCATGTAATGAACACAATGAGATTGTCGTTCATGGCCAAGTAGCAGTAATACATGCTAGAGCCTTTCATGTAATGAATCCTGTAACTACAATGATTTAGGCTCTAAAACCATATCAATTTGTTGGACAAAATGTTTAGCTTTTGCTTCTCATTTTCAACTCGCTATTAATGATTTAAGAATTCGCTGCATCGAAGGTTTACAAATTGTTGCATTTTCAGCCTCCTTCCTCTCTCTAGTTACCGGCATTTGGGTTTGCCGTATCCTGCTCGCTTTGTGTTTGCCATAGCAAAATCTTTCGGATATCCCTTTTGCTCATTTCATAGACTGCTTTTTGAAAGAAATTGAACAAACTGACGAGAACTTTTTGGACTCGACATACAGAATATCCGAGAATTGACAAGGGCAATAATGAATTCTCAAGTGAGGTGCAATTGCAGCCTGTGGGTTTAGCGTCTTTGGAAGCATCTTTTCTATTCTGCCTACATTTTGGCCCTCTGATGGCTCCTAGGATTTTCAAATTATGTCTATATGGTTCACTTCTGAGCCCTTTTCCCCAGTTCTTCTCAGTAGAGGGTTTTGTGTAGTGTTGCTTTACTAGATGATAGTTTTGTAACCTTTGATGAGAAGTTTTCTAATTTATTTCAATGGAATTTTTGGAAGCCCTGCACATATATAAGTGTGTGTGCGTGCGCGTACCGCAGCCTGTTGGCAGAGAAACCTCTTTGAAGGTCGTAAGTCCCCTCAGGTCACGGGTTTAAATCCCCCCGTGTGTAGGGTGTGGTACTCAAATATTTAACAAACCTAAGAATGATAGAAACTCGGACCATTCCTTTATATATCTATAATGTCCGCATATCACGAGCTCTATGATTGTAAGAGCTAGACCTTTTATATAAAAGGATAATTTAAATACCATTTTAGTTACATCCACATTTTTTAGTTTCATGACCTCTGATGACAGCCCTGCTCTGCCATTTTTAGATGGCACAGCTTGGTGCCACCTCTCCAACAGTCATTAGAACGTAGTCACATCCGTGTTACTAATGTCCATCAATAAACATGCAGATCATTAACTTCTACCCTATGAAGTTTGCCGAGTATACTACTCCAGCCTGCCAAGACACATTACGGTCCACCTTGCTGAGTCGGATCATAAGATTATTTGGCTGACTTGCTGATGATTATTACTAGAGCATGCCCCAATTATATAGCTCACCCTCCACGACTGAGAGTCGAGCACAACAAAAAGGATCAGAGTACAGTGGTTCTTCTCAAAAAAATAAATTAAAGTAAAAATAAAAAATAAATTGCTCCTACGATTGTTTGAGCTTTACTATGGGCACGACAGTTAACAAAGTAAGGTAGATTAAGCCAGTACTCACTGATGGGGGCCTGAGCCTCTCACAGAATTAATCTCTCTCTCTCTCTTTCTCTCTCTCTCTCTAAACATAGAGATTTTCCCGCCTTTTCGTACCATTCCTATCTGGTCCAATGCGTTCAATTAATCCCACCTTTGGGATGAATAAGTCGGCTCTGACTACCAATGGCAATATAAATTGAATGAACATGCAGAAAACACATTATTTTCAAGATATTAATTGGAAATAAAGTGTAGAATTTCGAAGTGCTAGATTCAAATACTCAAACTTACCCAAAAAAAAAAAATTAATAATAGTAGGGTTAATGATGGGCCCAATTGCAATCTAAGAACATTTCAACGAAGGGATAAAATAAAATACCAAATTAAAATTAACTCACTTGTTACCTGAATTTTTATAATGATGCTTTCAAGCTGAAAGAATATATATCCTAATCAAAGTATACAAAATAAAAGGCAAAAAACATGTGGAGTATATACAACTAATTGATAAAAATGGGATTAGTAATGCATTAGTGAGATGAAGGTTTCACATTTGTACAAATCTATGAGTTTTAAGGAGAGAAACTTATCTTGCAATGTATTGCATTCTGTAAACCTCAATCACCTAACGAGATAACAACAAAGACATCATCAAGGGACCACTTTCTCCGCTCCATCTTCTGAGGAGGATTTATTATTGCTCGCTCTGCATTGGCCAGACGGTACCCAATTACTATCTCATGCCTCTCCCGACCCCTAACCATAATTTCGTAGAAACCTAGCTCTTCTTGTTCATATAGATAATATTCTGCTGGACGAATACAAAGCTCATTTCCCTGAAAAAATGGCACAAATGTCGAGCAAAAGAGAATTTTATTTTAATTGTTTGGAATATAACCTGTGCTATTAAAGGCGATTTAAAGTTACATTGTAACGATAATCACAATGGATAATTGATGTAGAAGTGAATTTTCCATGACAAATTAGATTCACAAGATGCAACTAGCACTTTATTTTAAATGGTTTTAACTACGGCAAAGCCTGAACTGCAAATAAGTAAAAGCCCCCCCTAGACTCAAAATTTATAGCAAACCATGTGAGTTACTCCTCAAAAAAGTGCAGCACTGGCTAAGTTCCAGCAGCATACGGTGGCAGCTAGAGTTATTAAAAAAAAACTCATTATTCGTGATTAACTTATCTTCATATAACTACTCTCTCTCTCTCTCTCTCTCTCTCTCTCTCTCTCTCTCTCTCTCTCTCTCTCTCTCTCTCTCTCTCTCTCTATATATATATATATATATATATATATCCTGATTGGAGTCCTGATACAAAACTGTATCAGCACACATGCAATATTTTTTCGAATAGGTGAGACCTCGTGCGGGAGATGTTGCTCCAACATAGAAAATAGGGCAAGAACCTGTTAATTGTTTAGTTACGAACCCAAAACCTAATTTTAGGGTTTTTATTTTAAATCTGTCATTTATGTTAAAAAAAATTAATTATAGTTAATTTTATAGAATTTTCATAAGCACTATATTTAAATTAATTAAATTTTATTAAAAATTATTTAGGAAATTTGGCAAGAAGGCTAAGGTAGAAGGGAGAGGAAATTTTCACGTACAATAGCAGAATTCAATAACAAATTTATTTATTTATTTTGTCAACCCTAGGTTAAACCATAATTATAAAAAGAACGATTTTAAGTATTTATTTTTAAAAATAATTTGAAAAAATCCTTTATGAATATTGCTATAATCTACTATGATTATAATAGTATTACAATAACAAAATAAAATTATTTAATTGGATTTAGCGAAAATAATTATTGATCGGATGGATAAAAAATCTTAGACTGCTTGAGTTGACAATAATTTCAAACTTCAAAAAAAAAAGATATTTTGGCGGAAGAACGATTGGAGGCAGCAACAAGGTGGAGGTGGCAGTAAGAAAAATAGTCCGGAAAGGCTGTCCAACAGTTGCAGCGAAGAAGAAAGAGTGGCAGCTTAGGGAATATTGCGATGGAAGAGGACGTCGAAGATAAATATAAGATATAGCTGGAACACCACTTGTCTTTGGATACAGTCCTAGAAGGGAAGACTTGGGGATGCCGACAGCTAGGGCTGTCAAAAAAACTTGTTCGTGAATAGCTCGTGTTCGGCTTATTAAGTAACTCATGTTTTGTTAGTTGTTAAGTAAACGAGCCGAACACGAACAAATTCTTTAAGCTTGAATTAAAAAGGAGCCGAACAAAAACAACCCTTTGTTAGTGTTCAACTTGTTTTAGCTTGAAATAAAAAATTACATATTTTATTTATATAATATTATATTGTATATATTATTTATATAATAATATATTATATATAGTTATATCTAAGTTTAAATCATAACACTTGTAATCATGCGGTTATGTGTCTTTTATTGCACAGAGTTGATGCAGGTTCAAATCAAACACCCTACATCTATTTTTTTCCAATTAATTTTAGCGAGCCAATTTCAAGTTAACAATAAGCCAAACACAAATATAAATATTTAAAACGAGTCGAGCATAAACAGAATGCTCACGAGCCGATTTTTAACACAAACAATTTCGAACAAGCTACATGAGTCAAGCCTGAGCTCGCTCAAGCTCGGCTCGTTTACAACCCTAACGACAGTTGTCCTAATAGAAAACTCACAATAACTAAACCTAAAACACAAGAATTGCCTACATAAGTGTTAGATTGCTAGGATTGGATCCCTCCATGGAAAGAAGGTGTCAATCCCTCATTAAAGATTCTATTGGCTCTTCCCGGTTAAAGCCAAGTTGGTCTAGAGTAAAGAATCGCAAGTGCATCTCCCGAGGCTTCTTTACGCTCCATCATCAAGTAAACAGGTATTGATTTTAAGTAGAGTTTGGAGTTGATTCAAGTAAAATATAATACTCAACATAAATTAAAGTTTATTCACTAACTAAAAATATCATTTATATTAATATATTCAAGAGATATTTATAAGTGCTTTATTTAAAAAAAATATAAAATATATATATATGATGTAATCATATGTATGCATAAAGTAGCTATCTTTCATGTAATTAGTGGTACTAGTATGTATGTATTCATATAAATGTATGTGCCTATATGTATGTATATATATGTACATACACAGATACTGTGTTTGCGTAACATTGTGTGTGTGCGCGCGCGCGAGCGTACTGTGGTATATTGTTGGTAGAGCAACCTCTCTGAAGGTCGTAAGACCTTCAGGTCACGGTTTTAAATCCTCCATCATATCGGGTGTGGTACTCGAATATTTAACACAAGTAGGGATGGACGGGGCTTGTCTAATAGCCTTCGGTCATTCCTTCTCAAACATATTTATATATTATATATATGTGTGTTTGCATTAACAAAAAATATATTTTAATTTCAAGCCTATAAAAATCTACAAGTTAGAGCACATTGATTTTGATTTCAAGCCTATAAAAATTGAATTGATTGTAGCGCAAGTTTAACTTTCAAAAATAATTACAAGCCCTAGAAGAAAACTAAAGGAAATGAAAATCCTAATACAAGATTATGAAACTACGACTACTACATAAGAATTTTGATCCCCATTATCATTTCCTTTCACTCATTTCTAGCATCCAAACACAAAATTAGTAGAGAAACATTTTTTATTTTTCAAGATAGAGGGGATGTACAAACATATATTAATTATAGAACTAGACTTAATGAAAAAAAATAGTAATAAACAAAGAAAGGAATTCCAGGCCTTTTTTACCGAAATTGGCAGGATATAATAATGTGATGGGTAATAATATAATAAAATTGGAATGTATTAAGAAAAAAATATGTCAATATTATGTTTAAGTAATAAAAAACATGTATGATGGTTAGCTATTGCGCGAATGAGGAAATACCACCATCAGTACATCTTAATAAATATTTTGCATTGAATTCATATCTTTTTGTATTTGCAATGGAAACACTAATAAAGATATTAAAAAAAGAGACGTCTCAGTGTATGATTTTTAAAAATGGCATAGCTGTAATAGAAAAAGGCCAATATTGAAATAAGTATAAACCTATAAAAAGGGAGAAATGTTCAGAAGAAAGTGGGCATACAATTAATAAAATTAAAATTAAGTACAAAATATACATTTAATGGGTATGAATAATAACTTATTTACTAATGCTATTAAAAGATAGAAGCAATAACAAAATGTAATAGATTTAAATATCTTAAATATATTATACAAAAAATATTTAAGGATCTAGATGATATCTATAGTTAAAGTTGGATAGTTAAAATGGAGCATAAAAGTACTAAGTGAAAAAGAACAAGACTTGAGGAGACTTGAAATGGAAAAAATTATAAAATTCTGTTAGATAGTGGTATTGTGAGTGTCATCAGTATAAAAACCATCGATAGAAAATAAGAAAATATTAAGATGAATATCTGGCAAAATTAGCAGATTTTTAACAAATTACAATATGAAAGGAATTGACTAAAATAGCATCTATTGAAGATAAAATCATAGAAAATATAATTAGGTGTTGAGCACAAAAGGTAGAAGAGTGGGGGGGCGGGGGCAGAGGCGGGGGCAAGAAGTGTAACAAAGTGAAAACTTGAATATAAATTTTGCCAATTTGCATTAAATTGGCTCAGCACACAAAATATTAAATTGGATAGAAGTTATGCAGAACAATTTATGAAAAGTAGGTTTAACATCAAAATTCAAAATTAATACTTTGGAGTGTGATATATTAGTTTAGTAAGTTTTAGGTGTTACAACATTAAGAATTGTATTGTAAATTTGTAAGTCATGGCATAATTTTAACCATGCGGAACTAAAAATATTCATAAACAAAACTTCTGGATTTTTTCCTAAGCTGAAATTCAGCAGTACCATGACAAAAAGAGAAATTTAAAAAGATTTCTGAGCCATAGAAAATCAGGTCATGCCACATAAAGTTGAGAAAATCAAAGTTGTAGAATTAATATACAATCATACAAGAAAATATTATACAAACGTTAGCAATACTATATAATCCTTCGTTTGTCAACGCTATCATTAAACGCCAGTCTCTTTTACAAGGGGCATTACCAAAATTCTATAAACAGGTTAAGCATGGGTGAGAAAAAAGGTGCTGCATGAAAATACTTTTTAAGAATTTGGGGACAATTTTCACAGTACGAATCTGGGAAACAACCAAAATATTTGTTATTCATGCAACTTTTTTTTTTCAATTTGTTCAGAACAATAATAAAATGATTCAGTTGCAAGAAGTACCTCTTCAGCAAAAAGCTCCTCAAGAACTCGATTAATCTGCTTGTCCTCAGCTACCATGGCAAGTGCCATGCTAACTAGTTCATTTGATAGGACATAGTCACTGATTCTAGATACAGAAACAAGATTCCTAGTTCTTGAATCCAAAATCTCGCTTATAATGATAGACTTGTCTGAAGCCTGCTGCATCTCCCGGATCCAGGAGCTGTGAGAAAAACCTGAATACCGTAGAGCTGTTGATTTCTCTTCCTTTAGAGGGAAGGCGCTTTGACTGAAAAAAAAAAGTGTAAGAACATATGAGTAGTCCTGTAGAAAAGATCAGAAATAACTGGCAATATTTTTTTTTCTCTAGCTCTCTGATATCTGATTTTACCCAATGATAGCCTGGAAAGTTGAGGCCGCAAGACCTTGACTAAGAAAATCTTAAATAAAAATTTTTCATTGGGAGAAAACATCAGATCTCAGAATATAGGTGTTTCATGATTCCCCAAGAAGAAGAGAGAGAGAGCAGCTAGCGAATGACTTAACATTTGATTAACAAAAATATTAGAAAAAAACATATAATGACCAATAGTACTTTCACCAATTCTAATATATGAACTATTTGCAGGTCTGCATTACTACTAGATATGCAAAATTAGGCGAACAAATGTGAAACTGTCCTGGCTAACTAAGTCAATATAGGATTCTGGGTAAGACATATTTGGAGCTCATTGATGTGGAATAGGCATGACAGCAAAAGAAAAAGTAGAAATGCAGTTTTCACATGCATTTGTGAGATCTTTCATGTATATGAGGATGAAAAAAACACAGAAATATTCTAATCCGCAAGCCAAAATTTCATTCTACTGCACCCATTTTTTCCGGCCAGTGTGGTGATTATAATTTAGATTAACATATAAAAAATGTGTTTCCCCATCTACTTAATCTCCGATCTCATATATATACGACATTTTCCCCGTATAATTCCAAACTCACAGAATTTCGTGCTTTTGCATCTTCTCCATTTAACCCATCATTCTCAGAAAATCCCTTAAATTCTTGTCTCAAGATGAGCCTGTCGTAATTATTGAAACAATTAATCCCTCACTAATTATTAGAGTGTGCCCTATGAAATACAACTCTGAAGATTAGATTCAAATTCAAGAATTACTAAACCTTACATTAATAGAAGCCAGTAATAGTTCACATAGCAGTCCAACCTTTTTAGTAAGAAATCATTTTGAACAAATTAGAAGAAAAGCAAGGATGATGATTAACTATATAAAACTTAATAATAACCCGAAATTTGATGACTATTTCTTACCAAATAAACAGACATTAATAAATCATATTAAAACGGCTAAATAGTTCCCTATGGATTTTGACAAATTATGATGCACCAAATAGTAGAGAATTTACTGCATTTAGTACCCCACGGGGCCACTATCAAAAGAATGTTACGTCTTTCGAGTTAAAAAATGCTACACAAATATTTCAAAGACGAATTGATACTATCTTTAATGAATAATCACATTGTTGTCTTATTTATGTAGATGATACTCAAAAATTCAATCAAACTATTTCCTAATCATTATTTTCACAAAAAGCCAAAATATCGAATAGCCTTGAGCAAAACGAAAGCTCTCTTCGTGACTAATACTTTTGAATTCTTAGGATTTATTATAGATAAATGTGCTATTGAATAACAAGAACATGTTTTAACAAAAATTAATTATTTTAAAAAAATTAATAATCAAAAAGATCTACAATGCTTCTTAGGATGTATTAATTATGTCGACGTATTTATCAAAAATCTTCCTGAATTAAGAGTTCCTTTACAAAAGAAATTATGAAAAAATTTAGCTTATCCTTCGGATGAAAAAGATCAAAAAAATTTACAGCAGATTAAAGTCTTATGTAAAACTCTTCCAAATTTACATTTACCCATACCTGGTGACTATTTCATTATAGAAGCTCACAGTTCTGAATTAGTTTGTAGAACAATCTTAAAAGCTAGACATAATGATATTGAAATTTTGTGCAGATACAGCTCAAGTACGTTTACAACAACCGAATAAAATTATCATATTAATAAAAAAAAATATTAACAATAAACAAGACAATTAAGAAATTTGAGATATTCTTGAATGAAACATTTTTAGTTAGAACAGATAAAAAGACTACCATTTCATCTATTAAGGAAAAATACTAGACTCTTTGCCTAACAAAAGAAAAATAAAATGACAAAGTTGGTTCTGTGCTTACACTTTTGATATAGAATATATTGAAAGAAATGAAAATGCTCTTGCCGATATTTTGACACGTGAATTATACAGGAAATAAATATAGATAATGAAAGCATGAAAATTTGTGACATAATCGACAAAACCGATAACAAGTCTAATCCAGACTTGAACAATTACTTAAAAATTTTTGAATTACAAATTTGGAAATTAGAATGTGAGATTACATATGGCAACAACATTCTAAATGAATTATTGAAAGTAAAAAATTATCTGACTTGAGAAATCCAGGATGATTAATGCCTTCAATATCTGAATAACAAAAAATACGATATTTTACAAATCTCAAAATTACAAAAGAAGCAATTACCTCTTCAATTAACGATCTAAAAGATTTGCAGATCTTGAAGTGTCAAAAACGTGCTCACTTCTTCAAAAAAGATGTCTTCGTATGCTAAGGTATTGCAAAATACATTAGTTGACTCTACAAAGAATATTAAAGAGATTCGATGAATGACAACAATTATCTTTCTACGAGGAGAGAACTAATTCTCAAATTTAATCTCAACCAGCTGGAAATATCCAAGTTGTATACATATACAGGAACACAGATTCCAAAATTACTTCTTAATTATATAAATGTATCTTAATATGTATAATTTATTTAGAAGATGAAAATCTTCTAAAGGAATTACCAAAACAATTTGTTGATGCCCGTGGAAACATTCCACCTGGTTATCAAGCATTGGCATATTTATATAAAATTATATCAATTTATCCCGAATCAAGAGAATGAAATATCTCATTCATACATATTAAAATTAGTAGCGAGTTTTATACTCCCAAATAGAAATCGATAGTAATATTATCTCAAAGATTTAAGACTAATAATTTATACCAAATTTAGGTCGAAACTAAAAACCTAGATCCAACTAATATTTGGATTTATCATTGTTCACAACAATTATTCATATACAATCATTGCATGCAGCCAACGCACAAAATACATGAAGTAATGTACCATAAATGAGTCTATTTTTAGTAAGAATGTTGTCGCAGTCAGCAAGGAAGTAAAACAATTATTCTGTCAAAAATTAAAAAAAATACATAAATGTATGTATTGCTAGAAAAGATTCGCTACAAGAGATATAAGAAAAACTTGATGTCATAAATAATGAAAGCTAGTTGTAAAGCAAATAATTATCTCCATGAATCCAATTATTGAACATATTCTTTTTTGCCCAGTTATTCCCCATCAGACCTACTTATTAAGAACTTTATGTCAATGCTTATCTTCAAGGAATCACTGTTATGACAAAACTTATTAGAAAGGAATCTTTTCAACTCATTCAGTACAATTATTAAAGTTGTGTTGTAAATAATAGAAGAAGTCATCAGCCATGACGACTAATGATGTCTTTTTCGGCCTATTTAATGTTTTATTCTCTAGAGACAGAGGCAGAGTGAAATAAACAAGTTTTCTTCTTTTTTCTTCTTCACTTCCTCTCTTGTAATCTAATTATGTGTGTTTGTCCGTTCAACTAAATAAAATATTTATCAACTCATGTGTCTGTAAGTATGTTGTGAAGTATATAAGATTAACATGTTTTTATTTGTCGTTTATAATAATATTATGGTATTTTGTTTCTACTTCTAGCCATGCTTAGTGTAGGAAATGAATTAAAGTTGTGTTTTGTATCTCTGAAGTGATTATATAGAGTTGTGGTCTGTTAAGAATCTAAATGATCTTTTTGAGCCCTAATTTTCTCTAGAAAGCTAAGGAGAAAAACATAATATGAACTAGAGATATTAAGGTAAAATCTTAGAATAGGAAGAAACAACGTAAGATAATATTAAGATAAACTCTCTGCTAGAATATGTCGAGAAGATTTTATTTAGCCGCACTGGTAGACACACATAATTAGATTATAAGAGGTAAAGTTAAGAAGAAAAAGAAGACTTGCTTATTTCGTTTTGTCTCTTACTCTCTAGAAAATATTCTAGAGAATATAACATTAAATAGGTCGGAAAAGGCATCATTAGTCATCATGGTTGATGATTTCTTCCATTATTTGCAGCATAGCTTTAATAATCGTACTGAATGAGCTGGAAAGTTTCTTTTCTGATAAGCTTTATCATAACGTTAATTCCTTTAAGATAAGCATTGACATAAGGTTTTTTATAAGGCGGCTTTATAGAGAATAACTGGGTTGGAAAGAATATTTTCAATAATTGGACTAGTGGAGATAAGTATTTGCTTTACAGCTAGCTTTCATTATTTTTGGCATCGAGTTTTTCATGATTCCTTGCAACGTATCTCTCTTTTGGCAATACATACAATTATATATTTTTTTTTTCTTTTTGTAATCTCTGATAGAATAAATCTTTGACTTCCTTGATGACAGCTACAACATTCTTATTAAGAATGGAGACACATTTTTTATACATTATTTGATGTAATTTGTGTGTGAGTTGTTGCAATGGTTGTATATAACTAATTATTCTGAACAATGATAGACCCAAATGTTGGTTGGATCTATATTTTTAGTTTCAACCCAAATTTGATATAAATCACCAGCCTTAAATCTTTGAGATAATATTTTCATCGGTTTATATTTTGGCATAACGTTTTTAATAAGTGGATCTGATAGAGAATAACTAGGTCGAAAATAATATTTTCAATAGTTGGACTAATGAAGATAATTCTTTGCTTTACAGCTAGCTTTCATTGTTTCTGGCATCGAATTTTTCTTGTATTTTTTGTAGCATATCTCTCTTCTGGCAGTACATACATTTATATATATTTTTTTTTCTTTTTGTAATTTCTGTTAGAATAAATCTTTGACTTCCTTGATGGCCACATTCTGTTAAGAATAGAGACACATTTTTTATACATTACTTCAGGTAATTTGCGTGTCAGTTGCTTGCAATAGTTGTTTATGAATAATTATTTTAAATAATGATAGACCCAAATGTTGGTTGGATCAAGGTTTTTACTTTCAACCCAAATTTGATATAAATCACTGACCTTAGATCTTTGAGATAATATTTTCATCGGTTTATATTTTGGAGTATAAGACTCGTTACTAATTTCAATCTCTATCTTGGTTCGGGATAAGTTTGATATAAATTTATATAAATATTCCAATGTTTGATAACCAGGTGGAATGTTTTCACCGCATCAATAATTTATTTTGGTAATTCTTTTAGAAGATTTTAATCTTCTAAATAAATCATGTGTATTATGTTGCATTTATGTAATTCAAAAGTAAATTTGAAATCTATATTCTCGTATATATATACGACTTGAAACTTTCCAGCTGTATGAAAATAGATTTGAAAATTAATTCTCTTCTCATGGAGGGATAATTGTTGTCATTTATCGGATGTCTCTGTAATACTCTTTGTAAGATTAACTAATGTATTTTGCAATACCTTAGCATACGAAAACATCTTTTTTGAAGAACTGAGTACTTTTTTTTTAAGTTTCGAGATCTGTAAAATCTTGTAATTCGTTACTTGAAGAGGGGTTTGGTTCCTTTAAAATTTTAAGATTTGTAAAATATCGTATTTTTTGTAATTCAGATATTGAAGATAATTCGTCATGTTGGATTTCTCCAGACATATATTTTTTTACATTCAATAGTTCATTTAGAATGTTAGTGAAATATGCAATTTCATAGTCTAATTTTCAAATTATATTTCAAGAATTTCTAAATAATTGTTTAGACTTATAATCGGTATCGTTGGCCATGTCACAAATTTTCATACTTACATAATCTGTATTTATTTCCAGCATAATTCATGTGTCAGAATATCAACAAAAATATTTTTATTTCCTTCGATATATTCTATATCAAAAATTGTAAGCAGAGAACCAACTTTTTAATCTTATTAATCTTTTGTTATGTAAAAAGTCTACTATTTTTCTTTTAAAAATGAAATGCGTCTTATTATATATTCTAATTAAAAATATTTCATTCAAGAATATTTAATTTTCTTAATTGTCTTTTTTATTGCTCATAACTCTTTTTCATTAATATGATAATTTTGTTCGGTAGTTGTATACGTACTTGAGTTATATATGCACAAAAGTTCAGTATCATTACATCAGATTTTTATGATTACTCCCTAAGCTAATTCAAAACTGTCAGTTTTTATAATAAATATTCATCAGGTATAGGTAAATGTAATTTTGAAAAATTTTTACATAAGTCGCTAATCTGCTATAAAATTTTTTGATCGGAAGATTTTTACATAAGTCGTTAATCTACTATAAAATTTTTTGATCTTTTTCATCCCAAGATCAAGCAATATTTTTTGTAACTTCTCTTATAAAGGGGCTCTTAATTTAGCAAAATTTTGATAAATACATCAGCATATTTGATACAACCTAAAAAATGTTGTAGATATTTTATATTAGTAATTTGTTTAAAATAATCAATTTTTTTGTTAAAACATGTTCTTATAATTCGACAACACTTTTATCTATAATAAGTCCTAAGAAATCAATAGTATTAGTCACGAAGACAGTTTTCTTTTTGCTCATGGCTATTCCATGTTTTTTTAGTTTTTTGTGAAAATAAGGCTAAATGTTTTAAATGTTTAGTAATAGTTTGACTGAATATTAGAATATCATCCATATAAATAAGGCAAAAATGTGATAATTTATTAAAGATAGTATCCACTGGTTTTTGAAATATTTGTCGAGCATTTTTTAACCCAAAAGGTATAACGTTCCATTGATAGTGACCCTGCAGGACTAAAAGCGATAAATTTTCTACTATTTAGGTGCATCAAAATTTATCAAAATCTAGATTTACAATCAATTTAGAGAATCATCTAGGCGTTTTAATATGATTTATTAATACCTCTTTATTTGGTATGAAATAACAATCAAATTTAGTGTTATCATCAAGTTTTATATAATTAATCATGATTTGTTCTTCACAATTTCTTATTAAAAAGGCTAGACTGCTATGTGGACTATTATTGCTTCTATTAATACAAGGTTTAGTAATTTTTTAATTTGAATCTGAATTTTTTTTTTATCTTCAGATTTGTATTTCATAAGACGCACTCCAATGATTAGTGAGGGATGAATTAATTCAATAATTGTGATGGGCTCATCTTGAGACTAGAATTGTAGGGGATTTTCTGAGAATGAAGGGTTAAATAGAGAAGATGCAAAAGCACGGAGTTCTGCAAGTTCGGAATTATCCGGGCAAAAATGGTATATATATGAGATCAGAGATTAAGCAGATGGGGAAACACATTTTTAATATGTTGATCTAAATTATAATCACCACGCTGGCTGCGAAAATTGGGTGCAATAGAATGAAATTTTGGCGTGCGGATTAATGGACAAATGAGTGGATAATGAGTGGGGGTTACTACGATGATTTCAGTTGATCGAGTGAATGAGAGGAAAGTTTTAAGGAAATTAATTCTAAAAAATAAATCAGGGTCATCGTTAGGGAGACACCATAATTTCGGTATTTTAAGAAAGGCTGATTGAATAACAAAAAATTGATCAGTCCAATATTCATTGATAGTTCGAGGACCATTAAAGGTTTCAAGTAGTAGTTTTTCAGTATATATAGGAATATGACCGGGAATCATAAATTTTAGAGCTAGTGACATTGCAACAAGTATCACATAAAGTGTGTATTAGAATAAGTTCATATGTAGGAATATATAATTCTATAGTAATGTAGCTATAAAAGCGCATTACGTAGTAATGTATAGTTATCTATATTGGCAATATTATGTATAAATGTTATAGTATATTGTTAGAGAAAATCCACACATACTAGGATATGATTTGAATTTTTCATCTATTAAAAATAAATGTTGGAAATCAATCCTTTGATCATTGATATTCCAAAATCCAAAAGTAAATTAGCTTCGTGAGCACAGAAATATTTCCATCCAAGATAGTCTCAATATATGTATGTCGTATCTTTTAATGCATGAAAACTTGTTTCAAGTATTAGTTTTTCAGTATATATAGGAATATGACCGGGAATCATAAATTTTAGAGCTAGTGACATTGCAACAAGTATCACATAAAGTGTGTATTAGAATAAGTTCATATGTAGGAATATATAATTCTATAGTAATGTAGCTATGAAAAAGCATTACCTTGTAATGTATAGTTATCTATATTGACAATATTATGTGTAAATGTTATAGTATATTGTTGGAGAAAATCCATACATACTAAGATACGATCTGAATTTGACACCTAAAAATAAATGTTGGAAATCAATCCTTTCTTCATTGATATTTCAAAATCCAAGGAGTAAATTAGCTTCGTGAGTACAGGAATATTCTCATCCAAAATAGTCTTGATATATGTATGGAGTATCTTTTAATACTTGAAGAATTGTTGGTACTACGTTTTGATCTATATGTAATCGATGAGATCCTATGTCTAATAAGATCATACATCTTTTTTCTAACGTGATATAATCTCCAGTTACTAGTAATTGATTATTATTATATTCCCGTATACTTGGAGAGGGTTTAAGAAGGATGGATAGACTTGTTTTTGAATCTAGAGATCATTGTGGTTGTATAGCAAGTGAATTATAATTTTCTGTGAAGTTAAATCAGGGATTCCGTTGGCTTCCATAGTTTCTTTCTTCATCAAAATCAAGAAGAAGATTAGAAGAAGGAGGAGTAATTTCTAATTCACTGATTTATTTAGGTTAAATAATTTGACCAATATGGGAAAAGAGAGTACCTAAACGAATTGGGTCAATATGTGGCTTAAATAATCCTATTTCTGAAGAAAAAATATTGGTGAGAGAGCTCTGATGTATTAGTCTACCATGCATCTTTTTTTAGATAATAATTTTAAAAAAGGTTACACATCCATGATGGCAACTCTTTCATTAAAATGATTTCAAGAGTTCTATATTACAGATTCTACAAAATATCAGGTAACCCTCCTCTAGCATCACTTTACTTATAAAGAAGCATGCCTTGCATCTAATTAATCCAATGGATTTGTAGGTCAAACTGAGTCCACGCACTGCTTCAAAAGAAACTCAATACCAAATTCCTATGTTCTTACACTAAAATCTATGTTCATTTAAATGGAACGTAACCTACATAAATATCATTCTGATAAATATATTTTCACAGGAAATCTGTACAGTTAGAATATGCTATAATTTGAAACTTGAAATTTATATGTAATTGAAGCAACTACCTGAATATCTCGAATAAGAAGAAGCGTTGCCAAGGACCTTGAATCAGAATGAACAACGGAATCCTCAACAGACTCATCTGCAAGAATTAAAATCTGTTCCAGAAATTTAGTATCTAAAAATTGGGAATAAGAAATAGTTACCAAGAGATGCATCTAACAGTAATAGGATTCTCAAGAAAAAATATCCCCGAGTGCATTATGGCTATTAATTGCAATTAGAAATTTACATAGAACTTCATAAATTTTGGCCTTCTTGCAAAAGGAAAATAGGTTTAAGACTACAAATAAAAGAATAACAATTTACACTATTTTGCAAAATATGAGAGCTAATCAAGACATAAATCATAGAGTTTGTCATGAAAACCCTAGTATTACTACACGCAAGAGTTCACAATGAACTTTAGCAATAATTTTAAGGTTTCATGTCAAAATCAAGTAACAATTCTATGATTTCAAAAAATTTGGGCATGTGAGCCAAAGATATTTATCCTTTTATCCTGGCTTCTAAAACTTTGACATGAATGTAGTCTTACAATGTCTCGCTGCGTTCGTGGCGGGTTTGCCCTCCCCTACAAAGCCATCACCCCTTGCACTTCGTTTCATTGCACTTTGTGTATGTAATGCCTCGTTGTGCTCGCGATGGCTTCTTTATATGGAGACATATCGAGTACTCATTGAAATAAGGACTTGAGCCATTGTCACGTGAATTTTGTGTGATCTTTGTTGAACCTTGTTGTTGTCAAGGCAGCTTTTGTTGGTTCTCCTTTCGTAGGCTTTCTTCTCCTAGTCGGTTCATGGGATGTCTTTGACGACAATGCCACTTATGGTGTCAGCTTCACATCAGCTCTTGGTTCCTGTAGCACCTAGGCAGCCCTCAATGTGCCATTCCCATCTCTACTCCCACCGGTGGCAGATGTTTGCTGATCTCTTGTTTGTGATCTTTCCCCTTCTCTTCCATTGAACACCATTAAAGGATATTCAAAATTACTTGTTTTATCAAACCCACTTTGGATCCCACCTCCTCATGCAATGAGTTCTAGTAGGGCCCTAGTTGACCCACCACTGAGTTCACCGTGTCCTTTTCAAATGGACCCTAATGTTTTTTAGGCTTTTCCTTCTTTTTTTAATCCCTATGGTTGAGCCTCCTCCACCTGGATGCCCATGATATTTTACAAATGCTATTCTTGTTTCAAATACTGCAGAAATTTTCCCCTCTTCACTTCACAGCTCAGCTCGTCTTCAGCTCAACAACATAAATAGCCTCCTTCTCAAAGAAAGTATTCTCTTCTCTTTTTCGACGAAAAAATTTTATACTCGCTAAACCTCTCAAACTCTCACTTAACGGCAAATTTCTTATGGATAGTCTTAGCATGGAGGTAATTCACAAGTTCTTGTATGATTTGAAGCTGACTCATGACCCCTGACCAATCATAAAATTTTTTTTACAAGTTGATTACATCAGACTCTTCTCATGACAATCATATTAGATCAATTGTTTTCTTTAGAAGTAGATTACATCAAACACTTCTCACAAAAATCATATCATATAAAAAGCTTTCGAGTAAGCATGTTAAAATTGTCCGTCAATACTGATTTCTCCAGGGAGCCTCATGTCACTCCTATTTGGATCTAGTTTCCGTGACTTGATCTACACTATTTCAACCACAGTATCCTATTATTCTTTACTTCTATTTTAGGAAAGTGTTTGCTGGACGATGCTGCAGCAACTTGTTTTACTAAGCCCCTATGGCTATGAATAGTTACAAACCATTTCTTAAGGAATTGTAAGCTAGGTCTCAATCATGTAGAAAACATCCATCATGCTCCTCTATCCATATTTTTGGGCATTAAATTCTCTTAATATTTCAGAACTCAATCCTAAGCTTGGAAATCCTAAAAATCAACCGCAGAAACTTTCCACCTAATGCTCATGAAGATCCTCCTACCCGTTTGGTAAAGTCCCCCCTCATCTGATTAGTCTATTCAAATAACTCATAGGACAGATCAATTTCTGCTTAGGAGAATGCGGCTTATGTTCTTATCCTTTCTTGTCCTTTGATATCATAGCCACATCAACTGTAGATATTATCACAACATTATTCCACTAGTTCTTAAAACATTTTAACCTCACACATTTGTAAACAAAATGATAATTTGTTTTCATGGTATGTTTCTAATTTTAATTTTAACATTCAGAGTGTTAACACCCTGGTGGAAAAATAATTTTATGTTATTATAACAATTGGGACATAAATAAAACAAAATCTATCGTTATTTACCTTTTTTAACTAGGTATCAAGCTAGACAGACGCAAGCGTCTCCTGTGACATGGATCGAACGTGACACCCAAGTCAAACGAACGGCGTATGGCCGAACCAATGAGTTCTTTCCATTCCTTTCCAATTCCAGCATGTTTCCTTTTATCCTTCCTTTCTAATATTTTCCTACGTATCGGTGTATTGGGGTTCGAATTCTTAGTTTCTCAGTGCTTTATGTCAAGACGACAATCGACATTTCAGGGTTTCCCTTCCAGGGCCATATTCAAGGGTTCGGAGGATTCTCTAACAGTATTTTGCTCTCGAGGTGGTGATTATCTTCCCTATTCTCATTCCACATCCTCCCGACATCGCTCCCGACCGCGACTTCCCTGCAGTGACCGTCCAAAAAGCTACATACCACTATTTTTCCTGCAATTTCCCACTTTTCCTCACTTTCACCGTGATGGAAGGCCATCTTTTCGCTGTCCTACAGTCCACCGTATCCCTCTTCGCTACTGCTGCCTCCTTACTTCATTGCGCAATCCATAATAGCACTTCCATTGTAGTTTGGCTGCTGTCTAGCCCCTTATCCTTGCTTCCAAAGCCCAAGGTAGCCCGCCTTCTCGTTGTTCCGGCAGTTTCTCACCTTTCATTCATTGCCACTAACACCCCCTTGCTGCCGCCCCACCATCCGGCCTTCCAGCCCACTTTACTATCTCTCCAGGCGTCCAAACCCTCACCGATCACCATCAACACACCAAGATCCATCCTAGTATGAGTTGGTGTTTTCATTTGCCGCACTTTCAAATTTTTGTGTTGCGTAGTTGTTATTTTCCCTTTCAGTGTCTTGGTCGTAACCGCCCAAGGGCTTTTCCACTAATACTATTTGTTTTGTTATTGTCGCTTGGGTTAAGTACGGTATCATTTCGTATCAGAGCTAGCCTAATTCTAGTCCTATCTTAGGGTTGCCTAAATCCCACCACCAAGCCCAAAATATTTCCTTCCCAGCTAACATCACACCCATACACCATATCCCCTATATGCACACACACCATAGTCATGCCACCGTGGAGACAAGTATTAGACGTCAATCAAAAGTTTACCATGGAAAAGATACAATAGCAACTCCGCTGATTGCTACAACGGCTCAATGAAATTGTGGAAAGGACCCATGGAGAGGTCACTGTTGACCGTGATAGTGAGATCCGAGAAAAGTGAGAAGAACATCTGAATCATTTTCACAAGGATGATTTTAATGAAGAGGAGAATCGATTAACACATTTTGGGATTCAATATCAGATAAGATCGAGAGAGAAAGTGTTTGTTAAACGATACAAGGACATGAGAGTGAAAGTGAATATACCAAATTTTGAGGGAGGAATGAATCTGATAACTTCATTGAGTGGTTGTGGATAGTTGAGAGGATCTTTGAATACAAAGAGGTATTGGATCACAAAAGAGTAGCAACCACCTCCTTTCAAATAACCACCTACACCTGAAGGTATCAACAGAAGCACACCTGGAGGAGTTGGGAAGACTAGTTAAGGGAATGACAAAGCATATCAAAGTGGAAAGAAGCCTGAAATGCTTCAGATGTTATGGATATGGACACCATGGCTTTAGTTGCCATAAGAGCCGAGTTGCTTCATTTACTGAGCAGGGTGTCATCGAGGAAGTGAGTCATGAAGAGGTAACTGAAGAGTAGATTGAGGAGTACCAACTCCAGAGAGAAGAGGGTGAGGTGCTTGTTGTGATGAGGGTTCTATAGACGAAATCGTGGACGGATCACTCGTGGATGAGGCACATCTTTCGCACCTGATGTATTGTGAGAGGGAATGTATGCAGTCTCATCATTGATGAACAAAATTGTGAGAATGCAATCACCACTTTTATTAGGAAGAAGTTGCTTGGCTACGCACAAACATTCCCAGCCCTATTCTCTGACCAGTTTGAAGGGGAAAAAGTTACAAGTGGATCAAGAATGTTTGGTAGAGTTTTTCATTGGAGACCAGCTACAGGATCAATTATGGTGTGACATGGTGTCAATGTGCTACATCCTACAGGAGATCATAGTCGGTTGATAGCAGGACTTAGCAAGATGAGTTCAAAAACACTTCTTCGTTCACAAAGGAGGGGAAGTGCATCATTCCTTTCACCATTAGGGGTTCTAGAGGAGCAGAGATGCATGTCGTGGAGAAGCCTGTGGTCTTATGTGCGACCTTTTTGCAATTAGTACGGGAAACCTCAGTGGTGATGGCATTAGTGGTCTTAGAGGGACATGAAGAAAATAACGAGCCAGTAGAGACGATCCAACCACTACTAACTGGTTTTCAGGATCTGGTGGAAGACAGCCTAGCAGAAGGTCTACCACCACTTAGGCGTATCCAACATAACCATAGATCTTATTCGTGGGTAGGTGTTATCAAACGGGTCTGCTTGAAGATTGATGCCAGCTCAGAATGAGGAGTTATAATGGCAGGTGCAATATCTTATTGCTTGGAGGTTGGTGACGAAGAGTACTGGCCCATGTGTTGTTCCCACTTTGATGTGCCTAAGAAAGATGATTCATGGAGGATGTGCATTTTAGTCGAGCTATAAACAAGATCGCCATCAAGTACAAGTTTCGTATAAATTATCCGGATGATCTACTGGATTAGTTGCATGGAGCCACTCTCTTTTCCAAGATTGATTTGCATAGCAATTATCACCAGATCGGGATGAGATCAGGGAATAAATGGAAAACTGTCTTTAACACTAAAGATAGATTGTACGAGTGGACAATCATGTCATTTGGGTTGTCCAATGCACCTAGCACATTCATGAGGCTGATGCACC